ATATATATATATATATATATATATATATATATTTAAGCAATTACTTCTCAAGAACTGTTCCGCCGATTCCCAGCAAATTTTGGATTTCGTCATTTAAATTGTTGCAAAAATTTGCTTTTGGATTCAATTCCCTCTCATGACCATTTTCCCCCTCCCCTCTTACCTAAACATAGCTGCCTTACTACTGCCTATGTACTACGCTTCTAAAATTTGTTCTAACGGCAATCTTCTTAATGAAAAGCTCTTTTACCTAAGTAGTATATCTGTTGATCTTGGATTTCTTTATAATATTGATGATTTCATCATCAGACATCTACAGATCCATCAATAGATTCCATCTGTCACGGAATCGAACCGTCTTTCTAATTCGAAATTTATTGAGCCGTGATGGCTCAGGGGATAGAGTGTTCGCCGTTCAATGAGGTGAACCGAGCTCGAAGACCAGCGATGGCTGGTCAATACGAATTCGGCATCCGGCTTGCACCGACCACAGTGCAGAGATGTAAAATATCCTCAGTGGTAGACGGATCATGGGACCCTTGTCGTTAGACTAACCGTGGGAGGTTTTCGTAATTTTCCTCTCCATGTAACCCAAATGCGGATTAGTTCCATCAAGAAGTCCACCACGAAGGCAATTTTCTCCCAATGCTTGATCCAGGAGTTCCCTTTTCCTCTAGATTGGGTTCAGAATTTCAAGGCCACGAAGTTGAACATTAGTAGTCGTAAATCGATTGATATTGTTTATATTTGATGTAATGTTTGTTTGTATTTAGTTCACTTCTAAGTACCGCTGTTTTCCAGATTTCTTATTCAGTGTTCTCCCTAATAGTTAAAACTCTAATTTGAAACTTTTTGAATATGTTTGCTTATGTGATTGAACTTTTGCGCGCACTTCGAGTTATCGGTGTGTCCCCGTATACCCCCTTGTGGGGGCGGGGAGGGGTTAAGCTGGTTATTAGTAGTTGTAAACCCAAAAAATTGAGTTCGCTGCTCAACGAGGGTTCTGAAACTTCATTGTTTTACTTTATTATCTGAAAATCAATACCCAGATTGGAATGATTTTGAATAAATCGGAGTTTGAAGCCGTTTTCGCCCTTGTAAGCAAACTAAACTTCAAGACCCCGATAGTTGTTAAAATTAGAAATTCTCTGGCCTATTTATCAAATTAGTTGTCAATGTGGTTTTGGGTATTTTGGATAAACTAAAGAGACCCTTAAATTTTGACTTAAAGAAAGTTAAAAACATGTCAAAAATCAGGATATTAAAATATCTTCCCCTCGCTTCATGCAGTCGGAATTCTAACCACAGGTTATATTGTGCTAAAATCATTAAACACTGTTCTTCAACAACCTACCTTGATTTCTGGGAATCATTCCTTATTTCGGAAAGCCTAATATTTCTGTTCATGATCTCTCCCGTGTCTTATTTTCTTCAATGTTTGGGTATGAGAGTGACGAAACTAAATTAGAATAGAACGCATGTTTCTTGTCTGCCTTCTTCTATTATCTTGTTCAAGTTTATTCCTCTTCCATTACTGTTTCAGACACTTTTTCAATAGCGCAGCGTGTTTGTCTCTTTACTTTTCTTACATCCATTTTGTGTTTAGACACTGAGGGATGTTTTTGTTTATAGAACTGAAACTTCAGTATGTCTATTTCTGTATCTGTGCTCTAACATTTTTCGATCAATATGTACGTAAATTAACCGAGAGAAAAATTTGTTGGGAAATCGGAGTGCAAAATTGATTGGAAAGACGCTGTTATAGTAAAGTTGCTGTTCAATTATAATAAATATGCGTTTTTTACTAACCTTTTAAAGTTTGAACTGTAGTCTGATTTTTCATAGTAGTTTTGATTATATTTCTGTTAATAATTGTCCTATTAAAATTTGTCCAAAACTTTATACCATACTTTAATGCATAGGACATACAGACTGCAGGTTCTCCTTCACTGTCAGCAAACGGCACCTCGTTAAATAAGCTTAATGAGAGCAAAATTAGATATAAAAAACATGTTAATATAAATATCTAACATTGACATTATAAACAACAACTTAACCAAGCTGAACATTAAAAACGCAAAAACCATTGGTGAACTTAAATTTTAAACATAGGCGCGTTTAATAAAATAGATACAGCCTGAAATGCGTGTTAAAAAATGGACTATTATAAAGCAAAGTCATGTGACATTGCAATAGTTTTTTAATTCATAGTTTCCGTTTTTAGTACAAACGATTTCTAATAGATGGCGCTGCAAATGGTAAATGGAAGAAATAACGCATTAAAATTAATAAAAATGATTTAACAAAATTTTTGAAATAATCACCGTTAGTCAAACAATCAAATCTTGCATCAAAATAACATTTTTATACAAAAAAAGAAGAAAATATATAAATAAAATAAAATGAAAAAATCGTATAAATAATATAAATAAATATATATAGCAGCATATATTTATAGCCCCATACAAATATTTATGGCACCGTATATCGAAAAAAAATTCAACTTAAACATTGAACTCAGGGGAAAAAATTAGGCATTATCACATGAATTTTCAGCAAGAATTGTTTTATTAATTTAACTGTTTTCCTGTAATAAATATATTTGTGTATCTAAACATCAAAACTGCTCGCGATAGCAAAACCAAGAAATTTCTCTTGATGTAAAGTTGCCCTCATAAGTTTTTTTTTGTTTTCCGTATCATAACAGGAATTTTGCTTCGAAAATTTAATTTGTTCGAAAGCTACAACAATTTTAAGTGGTGTCGAGTGGCTCGGAGGGGAGGAGGTGGAAGTAACAGTTTGATAATTATATAATATTTATAATTTATATACAAGAACTATATTTACAGACAATAAGCTGTTACATAGTTCTACCTATCAGGCTTTCTTGGCGAGCACTGTCGCGCTCTTTGTTACAAAATCATCTGTACATAATTACTACTGCCATCTAGCGGCGAATAATTTTCTTTTAAATTAAAAAAAAATTACAAATTAGCGTTAACAATATATATATATATATATATATTATTNATTTATGTTTATATATATATATATATATATATATATATATATCATTATATATATATATCAGTTCTCATTTCTTGTCATTCCACTTTAAATATAATTTCATAAAAGCAATCGAATTAATAATTAAGTAATTTAGGATCTAAATTTAATTACAGATTTCAAAAATGTTGGCATCTCTTTGACTCTTTCACGGAACCCTAGGGTTTCAAAAATTTTTTTATACGGTAAAATCTTCACTTTCAAATGAGGAGGTCAAAAATCACATGGATCAGCTTTTTGCCAGAAAAGAAACATTTAAAGAATGTGGTTTCATGCTACTGCAGGAAATATGAAAAAAGATGATAGACCAGAATAGACATTATACATTTTAATAAAATATTTATTCACTATAAAAAAACTGAATTGCCTTCCAAACAACACAGTATTATAATCTATAATGTTTTCTACTCATTAATTTATCCTTACCTTCGATCATAAAAATGTAAGAAATTATTGTCGTCCACAAACGTAATAAACTGTTTAAATTCATCAACTGCTCTTTGCCAAGTATAGCAATCATCTCCGCAAGCGGGATTGTCTTTAAAAACCTGCAAATTAAATTCAAATGTGAAAAAAGTCTTATGTTCTTCTAATATAGTTTACATCATGCCATAACTTACTTCACATAAACCTTATGAACCATACGATCGGATGGAATTAGAGCTGGCAGTAATGGGTGCTCTATATACAGTATCTGACCAAATTATTTTACGCAATCAAAAGATTCTATGCAAAATCTTAATTATCAGGTATAGTGTTTACAGCTATCCAGCTTCAGTGTTTTTACTCGGATGAAAACGGTTTGCAATTGCTTACGCTCCTGTATCAATTGGTTAACATTGTAATGCAATACGTTAAAAATAAATACAAATAGGAAGTATATAAAAAATTTTCCCGAATAAAAACCCATTACACGTTTTTAAAATATAAAAGTATTGCATATAAACTCGTGCAAAACATGTCATTATTCAAAAACTACAGTGCGTCTAATTATTTGGTCTAATTATTATAATATACTAATATAATGCTTGATTTAATAATTATTCTATATTTATATAATATATTGTCTAATTTATCCAATCGTCAAATTTATATTATATATCGCCTAATTCCGCTAATTGATACACGAACGTAAACAAGTGCGAACCGGTTTTAGTCGCGTAAAAAGAATAAAGCAGCATAGCACCACCTGATAGTTAAGATTTTAAATCGAATCTTTTAGGGCGTCTAATAATTTGGTCAGACACTATAGTACTGTTTCTCAATCCAATTTACTTGGCTGAAATTATCCCAAAAATCGAAATAATAATTTGGACTATTGACGTAATTTTTACAGATACAAAATTGTTGTACCCAAATTTTGTATCTGTAAAAATTATGTCAATAGTAGCCAATAGAGCACTTTACCGTAGAACAGTTTAACAAGGACTAATACTGCGTAAACTCGATCCCTTTATCTGCGCACTGAAAGCATCCAGTGAATCTTCTGTGAAACGTGTCTTCATGATTAGTCCACTGTGAGAACACAGAAAATAATTTAATAACATTGCCGCTACAGAACAGAAATCATGTTCGAATTATTATTGATGTTATACTTCTTATGCGACTTCCAACAAGGTTGTGTTAAACGTTTAACGCTACATTTTTATTGGCCGGAAAATCACGTGGTAGAATCCAGTTTTCCCTCATTCATTTCTAAATTATTTTGCTCTCACTAGCATAAAAATATTAAAAGTCATAAAAGTATTGTTTTTCTATAAATATTTTTTTAGTTTGATTTGATACACATATAATTTAATAGGGTAGTGTTTTTTATTTTCAAATTCAGTGGATAAAAATTGTAAAAAATGAGTGAAAACAATTCCACAGAATTTTTTATATACTTCTTATTTGTATTTATTTTCAATGCGACAATGCGACGGATTTAAGGTTATGTCAAGGTACGTCTCTTGTGAATATCAATTGATTGTTAGGTTTACTCTTCTGAATTTACATTATGACGCATTCACGTACATTATTAATACAAATACATTTTCCAGGGCGAGACGATGAGGCAACCACAAGCACTTCCACTGGTTCAAGAGGTCCACGAGGGAAAAATGCAAAATATTACCGTGATTACAGAGCACCGAAGAGAGCGGAGCAGGAAAAAGAGTCGTTGAATAGAACTAGTGATCCTTCTACGACTGCTGATTATTCTACAATTAACGTCGCAGGTTGCGAAGTTTAACTTCTTCCGCGCGGAGGGACTCCACGCACTATTTTTTTTGTTAAGTGTTTCGGTAGTTAAAAGTCGGCGGAATAGAGGTGATGATATTTTACCGATGATCAGTGCAATAGTCACTAGCGTAAACAAAACCACGATCTGTTGTAACGGAAATTTAATAAATCCACTATGTTTTTCTAGTGTCAACTGATTTTTTATTCAACATTATTTTCAACTTGAGGGGATTTATTTGTCGACTATGTCAACCTTCATCTATCAAAAGGAATGGTATCAAATTAACATGTGTTATATACTAGTGATTTGGTATTTAATATTTATAGTCATGCTACATTACTCCCATACCAGAATTTCATCTCTAATAGAATTTGATGAGCGAATACCATTAATTGATTCATGCTGTTTATTTATTTATATCAATTTTTGCTCATTATATTTTCTTCCTTTTTTTTGTAGCATTTCGCTCAATTTTTTTCTTCATTTTTTTTGCTCATAGCATTTTCTTATTAATATTTTTTTACCTTCATTTTTTTTCTTCATAGCATTTCGCTCATTATCTTTTTTCCTTCATTTTTTTTTGCTGTTTTTAATGACTGGGAGATTTTATTTACTTCACCGGATTTTTTTTTTTTCTTTTCTTTCTTTGAGCAGTATATATGTCACGGCGAAAGACCGAAATCGGTGGTTGTTGACTCTCACCGGTGAATGTCGACAAACACCAAATAAGTCGGTGAATGATCGAATATTTCATTACATTCTTGTACATTCGGACCCTCACTGGTGTATGTCGACAATCACAGATATGCTTTGGTGAATGTCCGAAATATTTATTACATTCGATTTGATATGAATTTATTCGTGGATATAATTACATTTATTCGATATTTTAACCCTACACTGATGTTTTTTTAAGGTTAAGTGCCACTGCCCGGTATA